TTTTTATTTTGTATTCAATGTTAAAGAGTGCTTTTATTAACTAATTTCAGCAGTTAAAGTAGTCAGGTAAAATTCCTTCTCAGGTATCTCAAAGTTACAATTAAAATTTTCAAAGACAAAATTTTACCTTTTGTACTAAAAATTCAAAATTCTGCAACTCGGCTTTTAAAATTTAGAATTGCGACTTTAAAATCCGGTCCTTTGTCTTAAACACTGAAATTTTTACTGTTGACTCAAAATTGCATCTTTTAAAAACTCTAAAAGTTCACCTAGATTCCTGAGATTTTTTTGTTTATTGATCATTAAATTCGAACTTTTTATTTTCTCTTAAAATTAACTTTGCCTTTATTATGCAGTATTTTGAGTAAGAAGAAAACTACTCAGTTTCTCGAATGTTCAACATTTCCAAGAGTTTAACGATTTAGCTTTTTAATAAAATATAAGAAAAAAGTAAAAATACATTTTACAACATTTTTGAAGATGTTTCAATATAAGTTTCAAGTCCACCTATTTTCGTTTTAAACTTCAAAGATACAAGATTTTCGAATTAAAAAAAATTAAATTTGAAATAATGTTTAGACACTTAAAATATGAGCATTTTCGCCATAAATTTTTTTTATTCTTAATTTAATATCTTTTTTGCAAGAATTTTTATATTCTCTATTACTATCCACATTGCAAGTGAAGTAGTAAACAAGCAAGTGCTTCCTGAATAGCGCGAGTATTTCTTTAATAAAAGTGAAGTTTCACTCATCAAATTAGAATTCCCCAATAAATCATCATTATTAACAATTAAAGTGCTTTATTTGGAGTAACCGCACACGAATTTCATTTCGAATTTAAAATTCGCAGGATTTCCGGAATGTTAAAGCATTTATCTCGTTCTATAACGAGTGTAGATTTCATAAGCTAGCAGCAAGTTGCTTAAATTACAGTTGTAGAAAGGATGTTATAGAGATCCTAAGATAAAAGCAACTTTAAAAATCCTCAAACCGCCACATGTTTCTCAAGATGTTTCACATCGATAGACTACTGGTTTTAATATAATTTCCTCTCAACAAAAAAACTAATAACATTAAAGAGATAAGCAATTAACTAGACGAAATGATGATTTATTGCCAAACAAATAAATAAAATTAATTAGTAATTTCTTGATTATGATATAAATGGAAACGTTGGCTATAAAACAGTAAACTTTGTCCCGATTTGTGATAATCCGGGTTTCTTTGTACACCCGGGGAAAAAACTATTCACCAGTCTAACTTTCTGCTAACACTGCGCTTTGTTGCAATAGTGTTTCCGACTAACTAGTTGGGGAGCAGGTAATATGTCGAAAGAGCCTTCCGGGCTCCAGGATACACGTTTTTTCAAAACGGTCTTTTTCTGAAAATTTCTTCAACGAATATAGATTATTAAATGGTGATTATAATAAATTGCAAATTGACACTAAGCAAATTTTGAAGAAAAAAATGCATGCCTATGTATTTCATTACCTTAAGAAAATTTTTGTGATTTTTAATTTTGTTACAAATAGCTAGTTTCTTCCGTTTTTTAATTTATTTTTATTACTTCTAAACAAAGCAAAAAAACCCAAAGTGGTAAATTTAATGGCATAATAATAATAATAACTAATATTATACAGTATGTCCCCGGATTTTAAATTTTTTAATTTTACACTAACACTGCAAAAGAAAAACATTTTTTGCTTCACCTGAAACCAGTAAGTCTCGAACTTTAAGTTCATTATTTTCACTCAGTGGAAAGAAAATTTAATTTTTCTCTTGATTTTTAGCTTGTAATAACTAATAATACTATAGTCTACAAACTATAAGATGTTTAATATACCTTTAACCGAATTATTATTTTTATGTTAACTTACCTTTAATTAAAGAAAAATAATTGTTAAATTTCTCTATCACGTCACACTTTTTTGTTACAGACGATAATTTTCCTGCTTTCTGCACAAATGCCTCCGATTTAAAATTTATTTAAATTCAAGTTGTTGCTGAATTATTGCAAAATTATTACCATATGGGTCTAAATAGGTCTTAAAAACATTTCACTCGCATTTGAACTTCTTTTCTAAAAATTTAGGGAGCATGAGTGACAAACGAAACGAGCGTTTTCATCAAAACCTGAAGGTTTTTTAAAGACTGATACGAAGGTTTTTGGGATGAAAATATGTTAGTAGATTACTGTTGAATTGCTATAAAGAAAACTGATCCAAAAAGTATAATAAAA